TAACCTAGGCTGGCCTGGAACTTGCAGTTCTCCTGCCTCAGCCTTCTGGGTGCTGGGATTCCAGGTGTGAACCACCACACCCCGCTGGGACATTTGTTTTCATTAGCTATACTAATTGTACATAGTAAGGGATATCACTATGACATATAATGTACTTTGGTCACATACACCCACTGTATTACTCTGTCTTATTTCCTCTCCCTTCTCTTCGCTTTAAAAACTGCTCTCATCTTCTATACCCTGAACTCCTTCAAGGGCTGGTGGAGTGGCTCAAGTGAGAGCACCTGCCTAGCAAATGCAAAGCCCTGAGTTCAAACCCTAGCACCACCAAAAAAAAAAAAAAAAAAGAGTCCTTCAGCAGCACACAACCATGTTGTAGTATGTAATGCTACCAACAGGTGGCACTCTCCCAACACCATAGTTTCCTATCAAGAAAAGAAAATCTCTGAACTTCAGTTTTAAATCAAGACGCTATCAAAGTCTTTGTATTCAGTTTTTTTTACAATATGTCTATTTTAACAATTCGCTTATAAGAAGTTAAATTATTTTTATAATATGACCAAAGATACTGATATTCCTGCATACTTTAGTTTCTACTGTTCAAATGTATCTAATTTTGACCTTTTTATTTTAGTTCCATGGGAGATCCTATAATTCATAGATATTTTCTCTCCCCAAATTAAATTTATACTTTTAACAGTAGCAATACACAAAAGCATCAGAAATCATTTTAAATTAAGTGATAAGTGTCAACAGTTTTATCTACAAAGAATTGTCAATTGAATATGTATTATCTATAATGCCTGCCCATGTGTCCAAGGAAACAGATTGGAGAACGTTCACTCTATCTAATTTTGCTGTGAGGCTCAAGTGCTGGAGCATCTGCTTTGCAACTGTGAAGCCCTGAATTCAAACCCAGTCACCAAAAAATAATAATAATAATAATTTTTGCCGTGCTCATTGTTAGCTATAAAAGAGTAGTTTTTCTCTGCTCAGTGCACATGAGAAAAAATTTAATTCTCAGCTTTAATTCTACACTTTGTTACTTTCATATTCTAAAGGTGACTACTTCTTTAAGATGTGCTTTGAGATCTTGGGGAGAAAGGGACTTGGGCATGCAGAAGGGGCAGAATACAGATCCCAGAGCCAGGATGCCTGGGTTTGACTCAGCTCTTAATGACCTAGGGCTGTGGCTGGCAACCTCACCTCTCTGTGCTTCGGATGCTCTTCCAATAAAAGCAGGTGACTGTATACCTAACGTAGCTTGGAGAATTAAATAGCTTTATAGACACAGCGTTTTGAGCGGTACCTGGCACTCTGCTATATATATGCTAACTATCTTTTGTTTGCTTATTTTTGGTGGTACTGGGGTTTGAACTCAGGGTCTACACCTTGAGCCACTCCACCAGCTCTTTTTTTGTGATGGGTGTTTTTGAGACAGGGTCTCATGAACTATTTGCCTGAGCTGGCTTCGAACTTCGATCCTCCTGATCTCTGCCTCCTGAGTAGCTACGATTACAGGCGTGAGCCACCGGCGCCTGCCTAACTATTATTTTTTAAATTATAGCTGAGACTCAGAAAAACCAAGCTACAGGAAAATTCTAATAAATTAATATCCACCAAGGATCTCAATGTGCCAAGAACTCTACTATTTCCTTCTAGCACAGCAGAAGTCATCAAACAATGACTACTCTCTCTTGCTTGAGCTATGGATTCATTGCTTTGTTTGGCTTGAGCTGGTTTTCCTAGATGCATTTAGCATTGTCTCTCAGAGAGTTGCATGCCATAATGATAAAGAGATTAAATGTGAGGGTCCTCCCAAAGCACTTCGGCCACCAAAACCGTCTTAAGAGAGGGCAGGAGGTGAGGGGTTGTGAAAGAGGGAAAAGAGGAAGAATGTTGGGAGTAGGAATGGGTAAGAGGCGTCCTGAGTTCGGGGCAAGAAGGCTGTCCACACCCATGGCACAAAAGCCTGCTGTCACATCTGCAGGGCCACCACAAATGACCTGGAACTTTTTCCTAATTTAGCTTCCTGTTTGACCCTTGTGACTTCAGTGGAGGACAGAAACGAGGCCCTAAGCAATCCCAGAAAAGCACTGCATTATACTGTTATGTAGTTTTCAGGAAGTGACCTGGACACAACCATCACCCTCCACTCATTTCCCCTGCATGTTGTCCCAGTCCTCAAGATGCTATCTAACTTCAGAGTGCACCACTGAAGGAGGCACTCCTACCTCCTCACCTCCCAGCATTTGTGAATATGTTGCTGCTTTAGCAAGAATTAATGCCCGTGACCTATTGGACCAGAAGTGTGAAAGCCTGCTCGTGAGCCAGAGCCTCGCTCTACACTGTACTTTCAAGCTTGAAGTTGATGACAAGTGGTGCGATTTATTCCTCCAGCTCCTCCTGCACTGTTTCCATCAGCACAGAATTGTTCCCCAAGGCAGAGCTGAACCCCAGGGAACCTGGGAAGCTCGGTGTCTGCCAGGCTGAGATGAGTCCAGTGCTTGGATTCACAAAGAGACAACACGGTCTTTCTAGACTATGAAGATATCCAGGAGCAGTGTGTTTAAGACTCAAAGACAGGACATGAACAAACCAGTTTTAAAATACACACGTTCTTTGCTTTCTTTGAAAAATTAATAACTACCAGCATTAAAGTAGGTTTTACTACAAAGTCAGATGCAGTTAAAGATCTCGGGTGCCAGTGGCTCACGGCTGTAATCCTAGCTACTTGGGAGGCTGAAATCAGGAGGATCATGGTACCAGGCTAGCCTGGGCAAAAAAAAGTTCATGAGACCCCACCTCAATAGAAAGTCTGATTTTGGACAAGATCTCTAGATAACTGACATGCCCATTAGTGTTCATCAGTCAGCAGTCTAAAGAGATATTCTTTTATGGAGAATGATTATTTCTGCAATTGCTAACCCTTAATTCATGTTCACATGCTACTAGGTAAATGCATTTATGAAAATGCATTTGATTGGCAACAGCTAGTTGAATATATTTTTAAAACCTACTTAATTACATTTGATTACCAAAGGCACCAGCTTTTCAGTCACAGGCAGTAAATATTTAATAACACAAGATCAGGAAAGAGACAGAATAAAATACAAATACATGTAAACCCTTTCATAAATGCGTTTCTATGACCACAACCACATGACAACCCAAATGCCAGGGCTACAAACAGAGTCTGTATAAAATGCCTACAAATAAACAAGAAAAAGACACAAAAGCCAACAAAAAATGGATAAAGGATATGCTAAATATGAGTCATCTACAAACATGGAAAAATATGTCTAAATTCCCTAGAAATAGGGAAATTCATATAAGACACACTTTTGTCCATTTCCTAAAACAATTCTGAAGGGCTGGGGTGTAGTTTATTGACAGTTTGTGTTTAGCACGCACAGCTCCTAGGTTCATTCCCCAGTACCACTCCTCCCCCCAAAAAAGAAAACAAAAGCAATTTTAAAGGCAGAATATCCAGTGGTAGTGGGAATGAAAAAACCAGATATTTTTGGATATCGCCAATGTGAGTATAAATTTTCCAATATATTTTGGAAGTAACATAGCAAATTTAAAGTGTATGCACTTCTCAACCTAGTGTTTTTATTTGTAGGAATTATCTTACTGAGGCATCCTGCTGGTACACACATGGAACTTCACACATGGAGCTTTGTTTATAATGGGAAAACCAGGATGGGGCATGGAAAGGAACAATCAAAATGGCCAGCATAGATGTGGCCAAATAAACCATGGTCAATCTATAAACGGCTCTGTGCAGCTATTTAAAAGTTACCATCTTTCACTATGTCTCAGATACCAAGATTATAAAATGCATCCCCATAACAAATGTTAAAATGTAAAAAGAAGAAAAGGTTTGTGGCCATTTTTTAGAGGCCAGCTGTTATCAGATGACTCTAATTTCAGAGATGCTGCAGCGTAAAACAAAAAAGAATATGTAACTTAGCTTAATGATATGGATTTAGGTTCTAAATATTCTGTTTAATATAAATACAACAATGACCAATATAAATTATATAACAATAACTAACTAATGTGTAGGGACAAGCCTGGAATTATAAAAACTCAGCTGCCAAGAGTGAGGGACACAGCATCTTTGAGACATATATATTTTTTGTTTGTCTGTTTGTTTTGTTTTGTTTTGTTTTTGGTGGTACTGGGGATTGAACCCAGGGCTTTGTACATGCTAGGCAAGTGCTGTACCACTGCCCTTGATTGGGCCAGTGTCTCACTCTGTAGCCCAGGCTGACCTCAAACCTTTGATCCTCTTGTCTCTGTCTCCAGAGGGACAGGATTATAGCCTGGCTCTAATCCCTTTCTAACACAGGTTGAGTATCCCTGATCCAAAATGCTTAGGTGCAGAAGTGTTTCAGTGTTTCATATTTTGAAGAGTTTTTGCTGTTGTTGTTGTTGTTCTTAGATTAAGAGATATTTGTATAGACTTTACCAGTTGAGCATCTGTACTCTGAAAATCCATAAGACTCCAAAATCTGAATTTTTTGGAGCATTTCAAGTTTTGGGTTTTCAGAATTTGGATGCTCAGCCAGTATTGCTCGTACAGAGGCTGAGATACAAATGTGAACTTTGATCTACAATGATTTTCTATCGTCTCTAATCGTTTTTGCTCTCTGTAGAAACTGTTAGGAATGAGGACTACACAGAAGAATGATGAATCAGGAAATAGAAATTCTAAAGACCGATGCCACTGATGGCTAAGTTATGCTTTTTCGGGTCATTTATCATTCTTTGGGGAAACAGAATGACAGTTTCAAAAATTAATGACAGGGTCTGGCTTGGAGGCAAACCAGGAGCCAGATGTTTATACAATCCTATTCTCCTCCCCCAACATACCTGGAATGAAATATGATAACAAGGGGTACAGATATAGAAGAGGAAACGTCAGGCTGTGAGGGAGGTGAGAAGAGTCTATACCATCTGCCTCCTACAGGTGGAACTAGATGCCGGCTCACCTGAGTCCTTCATAGGGCAGAGGGCACACTGCATGCCCCAGGCCTCTCCGTACAAACAGCAGCACTCTGTGTATGTCGTCTGCTTGCCCACCAGAGGACGGCTGCACACATACTCGTCACTCAGATGCTCCCAGCACAGATCTTGGTAGACATCAGTTTCTTCTATTTGTTCTACAAGGAAAGACATGGTTCTATGACAATCGCACTGTTATTCCTATTTCATCAACTCTGTGGTGGAAGCCAGAGTGTCTCAGAATTTCCATCCCTGTTTCTAAGAGTGACTTCCAAGTAAAAGTCTGAATCCAGCCTGGTCTTTCCACGGCTCAAACCTCTGTCATCTCCCACTGAGTGTCATTCCATCAGCTGAAATGCAACTTGCCCATGATATCCCAACAACATCCTTTGCTCTATAGCTTCCCCTTGATGTATAAAATGCCTGCCCTCAAGGGACTTCTTGTTCCTCTAATCTTCATTTTTTCCCATTTACTCCTCTGTCACATGCTACCACCTCTTTCTACATAACCTTTCAGATTCATGATTTGTCACTCATTTCATCTGCCAAAGCCCCAAACTAGTGACACTTTGTTGTAGAATCTTCAATTCTAACTTACTAATGTTCAATTGACCTCAACCTAAGGCCTGGAACAGCTCTGCCATCTGTTCACTCACTCTGCATCCCATGCCATTTAATGAGTATTTAATGAGGATATTAAATTTCCTACATATTGATCACATGCAACTTATCATTTCTCTTAGTTTCTCATTTTAGATATTTAAAAATACCCAAGAAACTAATTTCCCTATTTTTCTTTTCCTTTCACCTATTTCCCTATTTTTCTTTTCTTGAACTCAGGGACTCATGCTTGCTAGGCAGGCGCTCTACCACTTAAGCACTCCACCAGCCCTTTTTTGTGTTGGACATTGTTGAGATAGGGTCTTGCAAACTATTTTGCCCCATCTGGCCTTGAGCTGCAATACCCCGATCTCTGCTTCCTAAGCAGCTAGGATTACAGGTATAAGCCATAGATGCCCAGCCCTATTTTTCAATAGTTCACATTTTAGTCAAAAGGAAAAATCTTAGGACACAGTTGTGCATCACACAACCAAACATACCATTTGATTCAGTTGGCCGGACACATCTTTTTTCTGAAGCATCCAGGACCAATGGATGTGTACAGAAGCAGTTGTAAGAGCCTTCTGTATTAACACACTGGCCATCAATACAACTGTTGGGGTCTTGACATTCATCCATATCTTAAGGGGGAGAAAAAAATCTTTACTAAAGAAGATCAGCAATCAGTTGCACCTCACATACTTCCCAAACTTAACTCACTGCTATGTTTAGTCCAGATTCAAGGGGCTGTCCCATTTTAATTAACTACTTATCATCATCCAACAAGAATAGCTCTGACTCCAAAAACATAAGATGTCCTGATTGGAAAAGCAAGGTTGTCACTGCCACCACACATATTAAATATGGGGAAAAAAGCAACTATGAACAGGATATGCTCAGAATTTAAAATAAAGTGCATTTTTATGATACTTTAAAAATTATTTCCTTTTGCTATGTTTTTCTGCCTAGCATATATGGTTTTCTGCTTAAGTGTTAAAGTCTGTGTCAGCATTTAAAAATGACTTTCACTTCCATGGTATGAGTGATGAAACAGGAGGTTCCCAGACCAAAAGAACGTTTCAATTATACCTGTGACCTGAATTATAATTCCACGTTGAATATTAACTCTTTGTTTGAAATACATTCAAATAAGAAGATGAAAGCTTTTTCACTTCTTAAATCTTGCTCAAGAAAGAGATCCATAAAGCATTACACGTCAGTTCAAGATACGATTTAGACTCAAACACACTTTGTTTTACTACATACTATTACTTATTTTTTCCATGCGCGTATTTTCGCAGAACCCCATACTACATCCTCTTCAAGCTTACCAAAGCACTGTAACCTGACAGGATCATAGTATGTTCCTTGCTTGCAGTAGCACTCATAACCAGGCTGAGTGTTCAAACAGAAACCATTTTTGCAGATTTCTTGTCCAAACAGTAGGCATTCATCAGCATCTATGGAGAAAAAAATTGAGAGGCAGTTTCAGAAAAAATGGAGCCAGTTAAAAAGAGGAATCTAACCAATACTGAGGCTTCAAGTTATATATTGTGGTTTGTCTGTGGAGCGATGACCCAAACATTACCAAAGAAGGTATAATTGTAACAAGGTTCTGAGACAGTACGTCATGGCTAATGAAACAGCCTATGGATTCCATAGTGGCACCAGCAATATGCTCTAAAGAATGTGCTTTGTAAGAAACAGGCCTTTCTGTAACTTCTTGCCCTCTTACTAGTTGAGATGTACAAAGTGCCAAGAAGAATTTGATGGGACATTACCAAAGATAAGCACAAGTTGTTAAGAATTAAGAACTCTTGGCCTCCACAGTCTACTCAGTAATAAATTGGACACAGTAAGTACACCAGCTTATAAATTTTAAAGATTAAATGACAGAATCTACATATAAGACTAGTATTCCTTCTGACAATGCAGATAATCAAGTTATTTATTGCTCTTACTAGAACAGTTCTAGCATTTTAGAGCTAATGTCATTTAGTCCTTAAAAATAAGGGACTTAAAAAAAAAAAAACTGGAGACTCCACAGACGACTTGCTCAAACTTACACAGATGGAAAATGGTATAGTGAAGCATAGAACACACGGCTGGATCTAAATCCAATCTCTTCTAACCACTTTGAGGGCTGTTAAGGCAGAGTGAGGAGGGATTTATTTTTATATAAGAGAAAGGGTAACTTTATGGTGAAGTTGGGGTTCTGTTCATAATATGAAGTGAAATTTAACTACATTCCTGTAAAAATATAGTACATGATATTTATGAACTTGAAAACCATTCAACACATATTACAAACCAAGTCTTCTTGTTATTCAATTGGACTAAATCATAGATGTATTCAAAATATACAAATGGAATTTCTTATCCAGCTACTGAATTATTCCATATTATTGGAACACAAGTTTTCCAAAAATGGACAGACAATAAAACTATTTTTATAATCTTCTTTCCAGCCACTTAGCAGTTTTCAATATTAAACCATAGTGGAAAAAAATCACTTTATGTATAAAAATGTCAAATATCTCTATCATGGAAACATCAAAAGTAAGTGGTTAATGAGGAAATATCCATACATGTAAATATTCACCTAAATGAACAGGCTGCACATTTTAGAATCATACAGGAGCAGCATTAAATATATAAAACATCTATTTCTGCTTTCTTCTTTTACAATTCCTTACTACAAATCTGTAATCATTGGCAAAGGCCCTAGCAATAGTAGGGTAAGCTCTAAAATAGGAGAAGCCTTAGCTTTGTGGATGACCATGTAGACAAACACAATGATGATCAAATTATAGTCGTAATTTATATTTCTAATGTATCTTTAGCATAACAGAAAAAATTCAAGTAACTCCTGAAGAAAGAATTTGTGATAAGTAGTTTTACACATATTATCTCATTTAACTAGTAGTAGAACCTTTGAAACATTATTCCTATCTCAGAGATGAACTGACAGAAAATGGCCTTAGAGTTCTGATCCCAAGTCACAGAACAGAGGAAGGTCCAGAGTCTTAGAGACTTCCATCTGGGGGTAATCAGTTTCCATGGCCTGACAGGACTCTAAGTCTGTGTAACCCAAGTTGTGCTTCCACCCCAATGGCTGACATGTTGCAAAATTGTTCCTGTTTGGTTCTGACCTTTATAGTTCTCACCACCAATGTCGTAAGAAGATTCTCCAGTGGGAACAAAACCTTTCCCTCTAGGGCACATTTCGGTGAACTCAGCTGATTTTAGGAAAGATAAAACGAAAAAGAGAAATAAGTTGAAAAAGAAAAACAAAGAATCAACATCTTCCCAGACACAGGTTTGTAATTCTGTCTTGTCATCTAAACTTTAATGCAAGTCAGCCAAATTCAGCCCCACCTCAAAGGTATGGATTAGGTTCAAATACACCTAATATAAGCCTTCTAAGTTTACTCAGCATTTCTTTAAAAAGAACTTACTCTTCACCATGTATTATTGGGCCGTGTTTTACTTTAGATCATGATTATTATTTACGCAATACTACAGTGTCTAGTATTTCAAAGGTTTAGTAAGAGCAAAATCATAGCTTAAGAATATAAGTTCGCTTATGGATAATGCTGTGCCATTGACAGCAAAAAAGGATAATGTTAATTAAAAAAATGGAATAAAACTGAATTATCCTTCTTCTAAAATATCCTATAGATCTGTGTGTAAGAGCACATTCCACGATGGAGGTGGAATAAGGCTGATGGCCACTGAATCTGAATAAGGCTCATGAAAGGGTTGTCTCACCTAGAGACAAGACCACAGGGAATGTCAAAGTCATAAAATGAGGTCATTTCCAGGTCCATGACAACATGTGACCAAACACAAGTCACATGTTATGTGAATATAACACTTAGCTGATCTTACCTGTTCCTAGGACTGGGCAGGGGAAGATCTCACAGTTATCTCCCCACCCGGCGCCTGAAGTACAGCAACATTCTTGTTTGGTGACATTGGGGGCCAGCACATTGTCACAGAGACTGGCATCATTGAGATTATAATAGCACTCTTTCTTTTCTTCTTTGGGTTGATCTACATCTAAATCTAAACAGAGAGGAGAAAGTAAAAAGTAAAAAAAAAAAAGTAAAAGACACCTGACATGACACAACACAGTTGAAACACAATGGGAAAGAGAGGAGCAGATGTCTCTGTAGCTTTTCCCTTACAGACTGCCTTCCACTCTCAGTGTCTCCAAGATAAAAATGCACTTCAATCTTGAATTTTGGTGGATTTCTAACACACCCCAAGAGTGTAAATCTGTCAAAACCATTTCCTTTTACGTTAGCCAATTATTTTATTCTTGTAAATTTGGCTGTGAGTACAGTTTCCAGATCTGCTTTCTTGCCAAACACAGGACCACTCTTTACAGAGCTATAACACCTATTTAAATTGATGAAAAATTTTCCCTGATGTAAGAATGGAGACCTGGGCCACACATAATACTTAACCCTTACGTGGTTAAGCACAGAACAGAAGATAAATACTGCAGCAGGCTGGAGCCCATAAAATGACCTTTCATCACTGAAAACCTAACTACTTAAATTGCTACAAATATATGACTTTAATGAAATGAGTGCGAGCTAAGCCTTAGAGTAGAATTTCAAGTCTGGACTCTGATCACTCTCACATGAAACATTTTCCAAAGACTCAGTCTCTCTGTGAGACAGAGTGATAGGAAAGAATACAAGGATGAGAACAAAATCCACCCACTTTTGGATAATCCACGATTGATTTTTACCAGATTTGACAGCATTAAGCAAGTCTTTGATCAATATTCTGTGACTACTTTAACTCTTTTGCTACTAAGTGCTAGAGAATCTGGATTACTGCCTATGATCCAGTTACTATTTTTTATTTTATTTTTATTTTTTGGCAGTACTAGAGCTTGAACTCAGAGCCTCATGCTTGCTAGGCAGGTGCTCTACCACTTGAGCCACTCTGCTAGCCCTCAGTTATAATTTATTAATAGTTTTTATTCTATGCTGGATCAAATAAGCTGAATACTGCCATCACAATTACTTAGACTAATTCTAATGAAATGTGTTCCATTACAACTCTTTTGTTTCCAGATTCTAGATGCAAAGAAACTACAGAGAGGAAGAGGAAGACTTCAACGTCAACACGTACTTGCCTTCTTCTCAAGTTGGTAGATCATTATATTGGGAAAACTTAATGGTTTATTTTTGTAATAGTTTCCTACATATTTACTTTGGCAGGGCCACATTGACTGTGGGAACTTGACTAATATATTAAATTGTACAGGCATTTTTAAAGGGCAAGTTCATAAAATTTGATCAGAAAAGCTACTGTTCTTTCTTTCCTCTCTGCCATTAAAAACAAAAAGCAGTAAACAGGCCTGTGAACTCTGCATCATGCTCAGAACATAAGTGACAGTGAGAATGTCAGTAACCCCTCACACACTCTATTCTGCCTCCCTCTTTGATTGTGCTGTATTTGACAGCTTCAGCCTGAATTTTAAGTTAGTGTGAACAGCTGATGATAAATGCAAACTTAGAGCAAGTGTCCCAGGCAAAAATGAAATGCTGCTGTCTATGCAGCAGTTTAAAATCATTTGCTCACATGTGAAGCTGGGAAAACCTGCCACTTTCCTCATTTGCCTAGCTTCCTCCAAGTGAGCACAGGACAGAAATTTACTTTGTCCACTCTGATGGAAAGCTTCTTGGTCAGGAGGGGCTCCAAAGTTTCAATGAGGAATTATTTGGGAAAGCTAAGGGTGCCTATTTTGAATTATTAAATCAACCACACAATTTAGAAAAGATTTACAAACTTTCCCTCAACACTGGGAATGAATTGCCAGCCTATTGTTATTAACAATTATCCTTTACTATTAATTATTACTATTATTATTACTGGTGGGAGTAACTGGGTTTGAACTCAGGGTCTTGCCAAGTGCTCTACTACTTGAGCCACACTCCCAGTACCTTTATGCTTTTAGTTATTTTAGTATTTTGCCCAAGGCAGACCTTGGACTATGCTCCTCTTACTACAGCTTAACCACATGGTTGAGACCACAGGGATACTCTACCACACCTGGCTTGTTGGTTGATTACAGAGTCTTGGTAACTTCTTCCCTCTCCCCAGTTCCTGGGCTGGTCCTGATTTCTGCTTCCCAATTAGTTGGGATTACAGGTGGAGCCACCATGACTAGCCTCTCCTCAATTATTTTATTCAGCTGGCCTAAAAAGGCATTTAGAATGCATTTAGAAATATAAACCAAGCAAGGAACACAGAGTTCAATAAATCGGGTTTATTTTATAGTTTCTGCTAAAACAGGATCAATATTTTTTGTTGTGTATAAAGCCATGGCTATGTCTGGCATTGATTACAAAATGTAATAGCTATTTAGTACAGTCTCAGTGAAGACTGATATATTCACAGGTAATCAGAAACCTTAGGCTTTTCTCTAAATCAAAGCATGTCCAACTCATTTTTATTACACACACAAACACATACTTCTATTTTTTATGTCTCATAAACAGTTTTGTTTTCTACAACATTTATTAAATTGACATCAAAGAAACAAAATTATCATTGTTTTTTGCCTTCTCTTTGGAAGGCAACTCAGATTATTTCATAAGGGAAATGATCAATAATATAATTGTGTTATTCAGGTTTTACATTGGTTTTTTACAAGTATTGCTCTTATTTTCTTTCCAATCTGTTTGAAAGTTCAATGTTTACACAGCTGAAATGGAGGGTTAGGCAGGCCCTCGTCCGTGCTTGGAAAGAGATGCAAAGTCTTTTTAAAAAGCCAATCCACAAAGGTCATTCTGAGAAAAACTATAATTTCCCTATCTTCCTTAACATTTAAATAATTAATTTCCATGAGCATTCTTCCATCAAGGCAAAACTCTCATCAGTAAATACATGTAACATCATTTCTTTGAAGAATCTCTGTGAGTGCAGGTCACCGTGGCCAGGGCTGGAAGGTTTCTGTTGGGAAATACTTTTCATTGGTCTAATCAATGGTTATGGAAAATGCTGAGCACAAAAAAATGAATTTTATTTTTCTAAAAGATTTTATGAATAAGATTGGCCACATATCTCCTGCCACAGACTTCTATGAAACATATTCTTTCTTCTCTGATATTTTCAGAGTCAAGTTTTCTATTTGTATTAAGAGGCTGGCCTAGCATCTGTGCAAAACCATTAGTCTATGCATTTAATCCTAGTGGTGAGAGTGAGATTTTGGGTAATTTATATATGCTACTTTTTTTTTTTTTTTTTGTCAAAGAGATTCCTTTCTGTTTGGTTTTGGTGCTGAGAATTGAACACAGTAGCCAAAGAGTAAGATGGCAAATAGGTGGGGGGAGAGGGCCCCAACGTGACACCTGCTTGAGGTCCCAAAAGGATGTCAGTTTATACAGCCCCGTGAGTGTGGTCCTGTTCAGTGAATGACTTTCAACAGAACCCAGAAGGCTTTATCCTCTTCTCTATTTTCAAAATTGCCAGAGGCACAAATGTTTTATATCACCTCACACTTTACAAGAGCAGGAATTCTAGAGTAATATTTCAAGGAGTAAATATTTTTTCTAGTTTCCCATTTAAGACCTTGTATAATGAGGAGACATGTGTTACTTGTTTCTTAAAGTGGAATCTGGGAGAAAGCCATGGAGAGTTCCAGAAGGCACTGATGGATATGAAAACATGCAAACAAGGAGGAAGACCACAGAGAGTTGATAACTTCAGACAGTCAAGGATGGGAATGACCAAAATGAGGCTTAAGGGAAAGAAAGCACAGGAGGAAAATCAGTTTTAAAGTCAAAACCCTGTACTTAAGGGGGTCCATTGAATGGGGAGTCAGGCAAACAAGCTGGCCACACACTGGCCTGCAGAGTGTACCTATTGGACACCCACCTAAGCCACAGTGCAGGTTGATAGCAGGAAGGCTAACAACATATGTGACAGCTGAGCCAAGTTTCACAAAGGTAAATTAAGAGGAGAAAATCGGCCAAAAAGCAAGGTGTAAGGGGGGGTGATGAGGCATGAAAAGCACAAGTGTACTTAAGTCTGTGTAGGCAGAGTAGGGTGAGGGTCCACAGAGGAAGTCATAACTCAAAGACCAGGGCACTGGTGAGGAGGGCCACCCAGTGATTCCCCAGTGACACCGAGAGCTGAGGATGGGTAGGAATGCGTTGACAGGTGAACAAGTGAAGTGGGGCAGGGTGTTGGGTGCAGGTGTTTCTGACCAAGGTGCTGAGATACAGAATACGTGTTGGTCCATGTACCAAAATGGAGTTGCCTCAAGGTGACAGGATGCAAACGTAAATACCTGTGATAAGACCAGCAAGCAGAAGAGCTAATCCCTACACAGGAGTGTGACTAGATGTTTCACCTCTTAAGTGCATCCCTGTTTTATCTCTGATAAAATGAAAAATCAGTTTTAGCCCAGATGCCCCACAACTGATGAGTGGATTAAGAAATTGTGTATGTACACAATGGAGTGTTATTTAGCCATAAAGAAGAATGAAATTATGTTGTTTGCAGGTAAATGGATGCAACTGGAGAACATTATGTTAAGTGAAGTAAGCCAGGCTCAGAAGGTCAAAGGTCACATGTTTGCACTTATATATGGAAGCTAGACCCATAAGATAAATGCACACATAAATGTACATTAAATATACATATTACCTTACATACACACATTTTATATATATATATATATATATATGTAGATAGCTAGAGAGAGAGAACAAGATCGTATTAGTGGATCTGTCTGAAGGAACTATAGAGGCAGGAGAGGGAAAGAGAATTTACAGAGAGTGAAAATTATCGAAACAATGTATCTGTGTATGAAGACAGTATAACACAGCACACTGTAAACTGCTGAATGAGAGGAGGTCAGGGTGATAGAGAAAGAGTAATGGGGGTTAATCTTATTAAAGCATGATATATACGTGTCTGAAATACCAAAGTGAAACTCCCTTGATCGCTACACACTTACAAAAATGAAGGTCAGGAAGGTAAAACAGGCCATGTCGAGGGGGTGAGTGTTAGTGGAAGGGGGAGAGGACAAAAGAAAA